GTGAGTGTCTCGCCTGTAGGTGTCTCACCTGTGAGTGTCTCGCCTGTTGGCCTGGTCCCTCAGGATGAAGCGCTGAGCGCTCTGCACCGTGTTCTGAAACATGGAGAACCCGTCAGTCAAACACCTGAGGAGCAACACAGAGTCTGTGGTCATCCTGGTAACCACACAGAACCTTCCAGAACCTTCCAGAACCTACAGACAGTTATATTTATTAAAACTACATTAACCTCCATCAGCATGGCCACAGTCATGGGCCCCACCCCTCCAGGTACAGGTGTGATGAATCCTGCTCTCTGATAGGCCGAGGCGTAGTGAACATCTCCGACCACCCGTTTACCGCTCGCCTTGGTCTCATCTGGAAGAGGTCAGAGGTCACGGAGGTGTCGACCAGAACACAATGAGGTGAGGTATCGACGTGTCGGACCTGGGACGTGGTTGATGCCACAGTCGATGACCACGGCGCCCTCCTTCACCCACTCTCCTCTCACCATCTCTGCCCTGCCCGCCCCCACCACCAGGATGTCAGCCCGAGACACCTGCACACAGGAAACACATCATCAGAGACAGGAAACACATCATCAGAGACAGGAAACATCATCAGAGACAGGAAACATCATCAGAGACAGGAAACATCATCAGAGACAGGAAACATCATCAGAGACAGGAAACACATCATTAGAGACAGGAAACATAATCAGAGACAGGAAACATCATCAGAGACAGGAAACACATCATTAGAGACAGGAAACACATAATCAGAGACAGGAAACATCATCATCAGATGCAGGAAACATCATCAGATGCAGGAAACACATCATCAGAGACAGGAAACATCATCAGATGCAGGAAACACATCAACAGAGACAGGAAACACATCAACAGAGACAGGAAACACATCATCAGAGACAGGAAACACATCATCAGAGACAGGAAACATCATCATCAGAGACAGGAAACACATAATCAGAGACAGGAAACACATAATCAAAGACAGGAAACACATCTTCAGAGACGGGAAACACATAATCAAAGACAGGAAACACATCTTCAGAGACAGGAAACATATAATCAGAGACAGGAAACATCATCAGTGACAGGAAATGCTTATCTGTGACAGGAAATGCTTCCTCACAGACAGGAAACACACCATCACTAACAGGAAATGCATAACAGCCAGAAAAGTCATGTTAACAGGCAGGAAATGTATTAACACTGACAGGAAGTACATCATCACAGACAGGAAATGCTTTGGTTTCTTCATAAACCCAAAAGACTTATCGCCACCTATGAACCAGGTGTGGTTCTGTGTGATCACCTGCTCAGGTAGGTCAGCAGTCTTTGAGTGACAGGTGGTCACAGTGGCGTGGTTCCACAGCAGCAGGTCGTGCATCGGGGCTCCCACGATTTTACTGCGACCGATAACCACGGCGTGTTTCCCTGCTACAGACACACCTGCACAGGAACAGGAAGTTCATGAGTGACGTCACACCTGTCTGTGGGCTGCAAACATTCGTTTTGAGTGTCTTTAATTAAACATTTCTGTCTGGAACAAATGCTGAAAAGAACAACGCACTGTTGGAGCACTGAATCAGAACGCTTCGAATGAAACAGAACTGTTCTGCTTAAAAACGCATCATCTGCATCAAACGTTACAGATCATCTCAGGGAAACTTTCAGAACTGGTTGTAAATGTTAAGTTTAGAAGAAAAGGTGTTTTATATAATTATAAATTAAACTTGTGTTTTCCACCTGGATTATTGAGCATGCATCTGGATAACTTGTGTGTTTTCTGGTGTTTGGGAGCGTCACCTGTCTGTCTGATGAGCTGCATGCAGCCGTTGGGGGTGCAGGGGATGAAACAGTCGTTCAGATCACCACGAGACAACTTTCCTGCATTAATGCAACTCAGACTGTTCACACGCACACGCACACGCACACAAACAATCATTAATACCTGGATTGTATAAAACTGTTTGGTCTTCTGGTGAAGGTTAGGTTCACGACAGAAAACAGGTGTTAGACTTCTCGACTCTGCGTTCTCTGTACAAAAGCAGAAAAATCTTAACATCTAACATCAACTTGCAGGTAGAAACAGGTTTTAGGCATGTGAGCGAATGTTAGGACTTGGAAAAGGCCTCGACTCCAGTCAGTCGGATAAAACAGATGGTCGTCAGTGAGTCGCCTCGTTTTCTGTGAATGGCACCAGTTCAGTCTTTTCTTATCTCTACGTGTTATTAAGACGAATGAAGACGTGACTCAGGTTTGTCCTAATTCACCATTTCCTCCTCCCACTTATCCCTTTGTCCTAAGTTTATGTTTTCAGGAAACGTGCAAAGATTTCTGATTCCCTGTTGGGACCGAACCCTGTGAGTTGGCGATCTGACGTCACAAATCTCCAAGAGTGCACCTTAAACACGTCGCTTCAAGAATTTTCTCCAAATTACTCATAACAAAACTAATTAATCTGAAAGTCCTCAGGAGATTACAGGCCATATATGCTAACGAGCATGTGACTAACTAATGAAAGTTTAGTTGTGATTTGACTTCAGAGAGTCTTTGGAGGTCCTCTCTGAAGTTTCCTTCTTGTTGACCAGAAGATAATCAGTCACAAGGAAGAAGTTTGACCCCAGAAAACTTCTCTGGTATCAGCGTCGTACTTTAGGGACTTTGAGGAACCTTTAGGTTGGAGCTTTGATCCAACCAGAAAAGTTTCCTTAACTTTAAAGATGAAATGAACCCAACCAATGGTCAAGGTGATAGAAAGGGTTTACTATAGTTCTACGAGCTAACCGTCCATCCATCCATCTATTTACTGTACTGGCTTGGTCCATGCAGGGTCATGGAGATCTGGTACTTATCTCCTGGAGGGGTAGACCTTGGAGAGGTTCCCAGTCCATCACAGGGTGACAGAGACAAACCATTCCTGTTTACACGTAGAGCCAGTTCAGTGTCACGAGTTAATTCAACGATATAAATGTTCAACCCCAACCCCTTGTGGGTTAAAATGAATAAGTGGTACACCGATGACCTCCGTCGCTGAGGGCTTTGAGTAGTGAATGTTTGTTCTGTTTTTTTTCTGGACTGGAATTTGACACGCAGTGCAAGTTAAACCTTAATGTTTTGGTGCAAGATATTCAAGCTGGACTTGTGAAGTGTCCGGGGTGTCCCCCGCCTCTCGCACAGTGATAGATGGACATGGGCACCAGTGACCCCTGCGACCCAACAAGGAAGAAGAGGGTAAAGATAATTAATGGATGGATGGATGTTCAAGTTGGTGTTGGAACAGAAGGAGGGTTTGTTTTTATTTTTCATGCTTGTCTGAGGCAGCGCTGCCTCTGCCTTCACCGTTGGGCACCATCAAAACTAGAACGCAGTTTCCTCTAACGGTGGGGTGGTTGGTTTATAAATGATGGCAGCCATTTTGGATTTGGACGTAGCAACCCAGTTTTCAGTGGTGACCTTTCTTACACCTAGCTGAAGCCACCCACCTAAATGGAAGTTGGAGCGTTAATTACTTTTCCAGTTATCCAGCGCACAAGGTTACCGTACTTTAACATATGGCAGCAGCCATCTTGGATTTGACGTGGCAACCCAGTTTTAGAAACGAACCTTTTTCCACCCAGACGCAGCCACACACCGACCTACCTCACTTATTGTTCAAGTTATCACGGGCACAACACGTATGGATGGACCCCGAGGACAAAACCAGGGACCTCAGTTTCATGTAAAAAAAACTGATGCAGACATGGATCACTGGGATCAATGAGATCACTGGGATCAATGAGATCACTGGGATCAATGAGATCACTGGGATCAATGAGAGCTAGGTCCCACTGACCCATCCACGTCCTTATCGGGAGAAACAGCGTTGGTGACCAGCTCGGTGTCGATGCGGTTGACGGAGTCCAGAGGCAGCTGGACGATCAGACCATGGACGGACAGGTTCTCGTTGACCGACATGATGCTCTGCAACACCTGCAGGACGACAGGAAACAGGAAGTGGTCAGAAGCTCGTTGGTCGGCGACCGTCGGCTTGTTTCTCACCTCTTCCTGCGTCGCTGAGTGCGGCAGTCGAATGTGCTTGGCATCGATCCCGATCTGCAGAGAAGGAACAGGAAACATCTCTGAGGCTGCAGCTACGACTTTCTGATTTTATTTCACGGTCGTTCTTGTTTTTACAGACTCGTACCGCGTCTCGTGTTTTCTGCACTTTCTATCTTCACATTTCTGTTTTTGTGTCATCTTTGTTTCTTCAGCTGCGTTTTTTAACCAGTTTGTTCTCAGTTGGTTCATAGTTTATAATTTTGTCTCACCTGTAGTGCGTGTTTTTGTCACGTTAAGCCTAATTGCACCAATTAAAATACAGAACTAACTAATCCATAATCACGAAGCAAGTCACAGTTTTGAATCAGTATCTTACAATAAAATAACGTAAATCTTTTACTCAGCTTGTTGGACATCGTTCTGTGCAGTTTCACACATTTGAATTGATTATTTTCTATATTCTGGGGTTTAGGTTGTTTTCACTGTCTCGGACTCCAGGCTCAGTCTTCAGTCGAGTTTCAGTCTCAGCTTGTGGTAAAAATATCACGGATGTTTTTTGAGCTCTCTCATGAGGTACACAGAAAAGATTTAAATGATCTGTTTCTTCTAGTCTGCTCTGCTCACATGACAGAGGAGTCGTGAGGAACAGGTAAGATGAAGAAATGTGGTGAAAACCCAACACGAGAGTTGCTCAACACTTATTTGCATCATGAGCGTTACCAATCCAGGTTTTCATCTGGATTAAGTCTCAGCTGTAAACTCACAAGTTCCCTCTGAATGTTCCTGGTTTATTCAACACTTTGAGGCCTTAGATCTCATCCAGATGTGGTTTACAGATGTTTTCACCAGGTGTTGTTCAGGACCAGTACGTTTGGAGAGAAAATAATCCGAGTGCTGATAAATTAGCATCAATGAAGTTTTCTGGTTTTATTGATCTGATCTTCAAACATGAAGTTTGTTCCTCACCTCGGCTGCAGCCTTCAGTTTGGTGCTGATGTAAAGGTTGGAGTCGTCTCTGTCTCCCACCTGAAACACACACCTCACACCATCAGGACACACACCTCCATCATCAGGACACACACCTCACACCATCAGGACACACACCTCCATCATCAGGACACACACCTCCATCATCAGGACACACACCTCCATCATCAGGACACACACCTCACACCATCAGGACACTTCATCAGGTGGTGTCTCTGAAAAGGACATCATGGCTCCTTTCTACCTCCTCCATGTTGACAACAAGAGGAGAAACTGGAGACCCCACAGCACACCCAGCTTGACTGCAGGCCCAGTTTCAAGAGGTGACACGGTTGTTCTGTGGAAAGTTCTGCTGCTCTGTCTGATTTGTGGCCTCAACGATAGTTTTGGAAAGATCTGACGACCTGGATGAACTGGTCGGTTTAAGAGAAATGACGTGTGAGTGAATCCACGGTGCAGGATGGGATAAGGTCAAAGATGAGGATGAGGAGAATGTTCTTCTGAGGATCTCCTGATTACAGAGTGTTGGATCAGTTTGGACCTGTGGTTCTGACAGGTGCTGTAAGCAGAAGTCACCAGCAGGGGGAGCTCCTGGAGCAGCAGGCAGTCCCTGAAGGAACCTCTGCAGGTTCAGGTCGGTCTGACCCGGTCCAGGTCTGAGCTGCTGTAAACATCAGGTTCAGACTGCTTTACAGGAACATGTTCAACACATGCTGAGCTCATGTTTGACCACCAGGAACAGAACTGTGACCCAAAGTTGGCCCCAGAGTCGTGACTGATCCCACAGAGACTCACACCCACCTGTAGAACCACCAGACTGGGTCTGAAGCCTGAGAACTGGGTCTTCATCTTCTCCACCTCCTCCTTCAGCCTCTGCCTCACCAACCTGCACACACAGATCCAGGATCAGTTCTCTGGACTCATCGGGCTCTGAACCAGCTGTTTCAGCAGCTCCGTGTGTGAGAGGACCTTCAAGTGACACCTGAAGAACAGAAGTTTGGGTCGAAACACTCCTGACCCGCCTCAGACACTCACTTGGACGTCTTGTTTCCAGAGAGGACGGTTGCTATGGAGCGTCTGCTTCCTCGGCAACCGGAGACGGTGGGACGAAGCGAGCGGGAGACCAAGGACAGCATCTCTGACTGGAGGAGAAAGAAACGTAAACACCTGGAAACACCTGGGAACACCTGGAAACACCTATGAACACCTGGAAACACTTGGAAACGCCTGGAAACACTTGGAAACATCTCGGAACACCTGGAAACACCTGGGAACACCTAGAAACACATGGAAACACCTGGGAACACCTGGAAACACTTGGAAACATCTGGGAAC